TAAATTTAGTAAAATTGTAACCGTTTGAAAATGCATAGTTTTAAGAAAATTAATAAGATGTTGACTACCATATATTGATAAGACTATTGTGAAACATTATTTAATCTTAAATTAATTTAGTCACACTAATAAATTTTGATAGAATCGTGAGAAGACGGAGTTGTTTTGAAGAATGTTGTTGAGCTACACATTTTAAAGAAACTGCTTAAAGGTAGTTGTCAATGCACTTTTTATGAAATTTTATGAAGGTCATTTAAACGAAAGTTCAACTAAACATAAGACGATAATTTTAAATGAAAGAGAAATGAAAGAATCCGAAATTGTTACATGATCATAAGTTGTAAACCGGCTTAAAAGTTACGAGAAAAGATACAAGGTTATAACACAGTTTCTAAGCACATCAAAGGAATCTGAATTTGTGAATAACCAAGGCTTCTAGAAACTCGAGAAAATGTCTTTGAAAATGCCTAGGGTAACATTTTAATAGCTGCACTGATATCAATCCCATGCTCCGTTTCAACTGTACGTTTTCTGTTGCCAAACATGGCTTTATACTTCCTATATATATCAGAGCATTTGACATTAATTGATTCTGAAGCTATCTAGAAATATGTTCCTTTCCTCTTGATTACGCTGTTTGATTAATTATCCCGATGTATGTGAATTGGTACATCGTTTGTGAAATGTCTAGGAAATTGTGGAGTCATAAGCCTAGTTTTTTCAGTCGTTTGTAGTATATTATGTCGATGGCTGGTTTTGGTCTCTATCTCAAACATACACCGTTCGACTGTCCTCTAACTAGTAAATCTAGATAAACTCTTTTCTTCAGAAGATAACTGAAAAGAGGCTTTGGTATTAGCAGATTTGTAAACCGATTAATGTAATTGTTCCGGTAAGCAGTTTTGCATCTTCTTCAAATGCATATGCAGTGCATACTCGTTGAGTTCTGTTATCAGGTTTCACTTGTGTTCCAGCAGACAGGTTAGGATATATATTGGTTAGTCTAAGTTATTTTCCTATAAACGGACATCTTTATAGTTTCATCCCCCTTTTAATGTTGTAAGTACGTCTCAAAAAAATGTTAGGTTATTGTCTTCTTTCTCCTAGATAAGTACGCTACTATTATGTATGCCAATGAATCTATCAAGTAATTGAACAGTTTGTAACTTTATCGCATATGACTGGTATATCACCCACATATCTCCTAAGCAGAGTTGCCTCCCTAATGAGCTTGCCCATCATATTTCCAGCATATGACATATATCCATCAGCCAAAAGAGGTCTCAATGGGTAATCCCTTGCGGAAATGCCAACTTGTCTAAAAGTGTACTTTTAAGCATGAGATTAACTTTTTCAGTAGTTTTTCAACTGTTTTGTCCGAATATGAGAAAGAGGGAAATTAATCGGCATACAGTAACATAAGATATCAATAGTCTTAACTAAAGGTACATTAGTGAAAAGAGAGGTTACATCAGAGAATGCGTAGTCTTTTACTCAAAAGTAATTTCATCAAGAAGATCACTTAGTTGGAATGCATCTTTTAATGAAAAACAACATGATTTGTTGAGTAGTGAGTTTAGCAATTTAGTTAACCATTTTGCTAATTAATGTATAAGTAAACCCAAAACAGATACTATTGGTCATAATCGGTTATCAGATCCATAGATTTTAAATGTTCCCTGTAAATTCAGGAATTCAAAAATGATAGGCTTTAGAATATTGAATTCATCGTTGTTGATAACATTTACATCGAGTTACATCAACTTGCTATCAACACCAAGAATAGTTAAAATTTCTTCTTTATAGTTAATTTATCTAATAAAACATACACCAAATCAAGATATCACAATATCTGACGTATTCAATAAGTTTTTTAGGTCTTAGAATGTCTAGACCTCAGACAATTCGTTTGTTTTATTTGAAAAAGTAAAACTTAGAGGTTAATATCAACCGATTACACACTCAACCCATGCTGTTTATTTATAGTGGTGAAAACAAATGACCTCACAAGCATCTGCATTCTGCAAACATTAGCTATACGCAAAGTGGTAGTAATAACACAGAGAAACAGTCAGAAGTAGATGAACGATGAGTTCAGTTTATGACAATTGGATATATCTTAAAGGATAAACACGAATCAGTGGACTAAAACATTGGTTCATTTCCTAAGACGAAGGAATGTATATGCATAAATAAGTATTTATGTATATTATTCTCGCTCAAGTAGTCGATTTGGGTGGTTAGTACAGATTGATGTTCTGATCTCGAATACTTTCCATTACGATAGATACCTAATTCATTCATAAGGATCTAATTTGTATTCTATTCATCGTTTCTTTATTTCTACCCTTCCCATACATAATTAAAATTTTTAATCTTAAGGTTTACTTACTTAATACGTTGTTGGATAATATTTACATCAAAAAGATAAAAACTTTAGTTTTAAAGACTGTCTAATTCAGGGATATTCTTATTCACAGTAATCTCCATTAATATATATTACAAAAATATCATAACTTCATCATTCGTCATTTGGTTATGTTTGGTTTTTGACCTGGTCTGATAATTTATTGATTTATTTTATTTACTCGAATCAAATACATTCCTTGAGTTCAATGTATTGTTTTTCTTTAAGCAAGCACAAAGAAACAAACGGATCAATGTTTTAGTTACGTTAACTAAACAAAATACCACTCACTGTATAACCTTCAAAACAAGAAGAGGTTATAAGAGAAACTTTTTTTCAATTAAAAATCGATTTTGAAATATGTTGCATCGCATTTCACTAAATTGGTTATTAAGCGGACAAAGCCAGTAATATTATAATATTTTTCTTGAGTCTAAGACATATCCAGGACTTCCTATTGATCATCTCTAATCATCTGACATAAGATAGTTAAGAGTATTCTTTCATTTAAAATTTCTTAAATTCAAATTAACGTTTAGATACAACTCAGAATCATTTATTCAATTGTGGTCAAGATCATGGGAATTTCAGGCCGCAGTTTATTTTGCAAAAGTCTAAATCTATCAAACTGACAATTCGAGTCTTGTGGTAACTCAAAAATGGAACATTTATCATTATAAAGTCATGTGATATGTGCACTGTTCACCAATTAATCTAATTAATCGGTTTATCATCTTTCAGTTCAAACTTTTTCACATGTAGGACATCAATAACTTCATATTTTACTGAACGAAATAAAACTTGCAATATATGCAACATGTATCTGCTCATTTTATCTGTAATGATTTCTTCTTAACTGAGTGAGCGGTTCATAGTAAAAGAAGTCAGCCTTTCAGTTTACAATCCGGTGTATGTTTCTTGTCTTATATTAATAAATACGGGCAACTGTGGACATACATTCGACTGGAAAACTGTCAAAATACTGAATAGAGGGAATACAATGAGCACTAGAGAATTTTTAGAAGCTTGGCACTTAGGTCAATCAACAGTCAACAAACACATTGACATTGATCGAATTTCTGAACCAATCAGAAAAATCATAAACAAGCATAGGATCAAGAATCAAATCAAAGGAGGATACAATCAAAATGAAGAGAGACAATGACAGGTTAGAGGTCAATAACAACCAATCAAGATTGAGGTTAACAGGACAAGCTACAAGTAATACGTGGAGAAATTTGGATACTCCGCTTCCACCTGAAGTTTGTGCTGATGATATTGTTCAGAAGTACAATGAGAGTTCCAGAACCAAACTGTCCAGCTCGGAGAGCGAAACTCCACAACAGATGGCTTTTAGATGTGTTGAAAGAACTCTTGGAAAAGAACTTAATCGGTAATATTGTTTACAAAGAGGTCAAGCCAAAAGGATTACTCCTACGTTGTTGGTACGATTAACCTGAAATATTCAAACTAACCATCCTGACCAGGGTAATATCATTTTTCCGCAACCTCACCCTTTATTTGACGAAATGTTTAGAACCAATCCGTGAGAAAATAGTTACCTACTGCATGAAGAATATTTTCGAATTCGCAGGAACGCTTGCTAACATAAGTGTCTTTTATAAGCTTATAGAATTATTCGACGTTTCATTACTCTTCACAAACATCCTTTTATAAGAAATGCCTGAAATTATATTTCAGTATCCTTTCATTACTCCAGTTGATGAGTTCAAACAATTCTTGTTCGTAGAAACTAAAGGTATATACAATTTCATTTTAAAAAAATGATGTGTCACCAAAACGAGCGATTTATCATAGCTATCTCTTCAAACCTACTCCTACGTTGATATATTTGTAGATAACCTAAAACAGGTGAAGGCAAAACATGTAGCTTATGGGACTACATTTTACTGCACATACTCAATCTACTTTACACAGTACTCAGTGAGATAATTTCTTATGAGGAATAAAAATGTATATCCACCGAAATTCATTGAGAAGTATACTGGAACTAAAGAACTCAAATGAATAGACAACCTTCTTCTTACATCTTCACTTCAAAGGAGATAAGATAATAAACTCTGTAATGAAGACTACCTTCACGCCAATAAAACTGACTATTTTCTATGCAATGAACAGCTCTCTCAATCACACAGATTCTCTTTTTTTTAATGTCCAACTGCATCTACCTGTTCACATATGTATGCCATAACATACGCATTAGAAGGAGATAGAGAAGGAAACATATTCGCTTTTCCAAACACTTTCCTAGGAATCTGAGACAGAGAAATGCAACAGCTCTAAATAGTGTATTGGCTGGGGATTTAATTGGTATTTGGCATATCAGTATTTAAAATCTAGGACCTATTTATAAGATTATTGGATTTTAATGAATTGACAAATAGATTGGTATATTGTATAAAATTTCTGTTGTAGTTGATTTATTGACAAATAAAAGGCAAATCAGTCTTACAAAAGAATTGAATAATAGATAATGAAATGTAATGAAAAAAAAGCAAACAAAAATACAGATAAAATTTATCAATATCAATTAGCTTATACAAAAATATATCATTGAACAATGTACAAAATACTAGAGTTTAGTTACAGCCGTTGATGATGATTTCATTTGATCTTCTGATGTTTTCCTATCGATTACACACTCTTCTTTCAATGTATCAATACTTTTTTTAGATGTACATCGATGAACACTATTATCGGTTGTTGACTTTGAGCCTACTTCTACATCAGGAAGATCTTCACCACTGGTATCATGTAAACAATATAATAGAAAAGCTTGAAAAATCGCTGAGCCGGCATAAATTAATACAGGTGTACCATGTCCAAAAGTTAAATCTGTATAATTTACAAATGTTGAAATGATTCCACCAATTCTACCTAAACCATTTGATATGCCTACAGCACCTGTACGCATATATGATGGAAATAATTCAGCACTATAAACTGATAACATAATTGTCGAAGCAGAATACATTATAAGCGCACCGTTACAGCATATATTCAATACAGTGTCAGTTAACGGTTTCCATAATAATGTATAAACACCACCTATACATAATAATATACCAGAAATTATATATGTACATATCAATGGAAATCGTCTATACTTAAAACATCTATAAGCTACACTTGCAATAATTGGTCCTGGTATGCCAGTTAGAGCATTGATAAGAGTTACAATATAAATATTATAATTAATATACTTACTAAACAATGTGATACCCAAATAAGCAAGTGAATGATACATAAATACTAGAATACATAGTATGAGTGTTTTATTGATTTGTCTATTGCAAAGACTTTTCTTGGTTGATTGTAGTAAATTAATAAATCGTTCAGAAAAACTCATAGATTCACGATGAATAGATCGTTTTTCTACAATAAATTCTGTTATATTTATATCTTTCAGGTAATTATCAAATTGTGATAGTTTTGACTTGTCCTTTTTAAAAATGTGATTAATACGACACCCTTTTTTCAATACCATGATGGCTTCTTCAACACGATACTGAGATAAAAGCCATCGAGGTGATTCAGGCAAAAGACAAAAGTACATGAAACATGTGAAACATGGTAACATTGACAAAGCATTTAAAATACGCCATTCTTGTATTAAATAGGCTATCCCAGTCATCAGAGCTCGATGTCCAAATACAACTCCTAAAACAATGAATGATGTGAAATAAGATCGATATTTGGCATTAGTTAGCTCAATTGGTAATACTCGTAGGACGATGGCTTTTCCTGTGCTAGAAAATCCAACAATTGTTCTCATAAGATCATAGACATAATGATTAGGGGCTAAGGAAACACCAATCGCAGCTAGCATTTCGATGAGAGAAAATGCAATTGCACTTGGTCGTCTACCGAACTTGTCACCAATATAACCACCAAGTATGAATCCAAACGTCATTCCCACTATAAAAAGAGAGGTTCCAAGTGGTGAAAGCATACTGTTGTCACAAACTAAGTTAAATTCTTCTACCACAGTACTGGGATACTGGAACTCTTTACTTTTATAAACATAACCATAAATACACTTCTCAGTATGCAGGGATTCACGATCGATAAGGGAGGCTTCGGATTTATTCAAAAGTAGATTTCTAATAAGCGTTATATTACTCCAGTCTAATGCGAACTGCAAACATCCCATCCTTGTTTCAGGAACTTCACCTTTCCATGGACCCACAAATGTAGCGGCTTCCTCGAAACTTAAATTCTGGTCTTTGAATAGTTTTTCCATAGAGTTTTCCATTCTACAACGGTGGTACGGTACTGCATTAACAAATACAGGTAACGTCACCATTAAAGGGGAATTTAAAACAATTAGAAACACAATGCTCCACTGCCAAATTCCATTTTCTCCAACGTACTTATTGAGTATTTCATCTACACTAAATTTACTGTCACTGCTGATGGATTGTCTTTTGGTTTCTTCTGATTTATTCAGCACAGATTTTCGTAAATTACGTTGCATAGGCATTTTTTCGTCAATAAAATCCCATTGGCATTAACCAAGAATATGAACAAAATCCTCTACACTTGTTTTGTAGTCTTCGAAATCACCCACAGACGTTGTGCGCAACAATAGTTATGGCGACATAATGTGGATGCAAAATGAGATTGGAAATTCCATTCTGACAATGACCTTAAGTTATTAATATGATTGGTTAATGATATTTGTCTTACATTCATTCACATGATTAGTCTAAGTTAAGGTCGAAACAAGCTGGGTTGGTAAGACGTCTGTCTGATTGGTTACTTAGACAAGTTTTGCACGTGATTTACTATTAAATGTAAACTTGAACATTTGAACTCCAATCTGTTTAAAATAATAATTCTTATCTGCTGATAGTTCAGAACACTGAACACACTATAAAATAAATATTAACATCAAAAGTGTTGGGAAATAAAGAATCAAATTAGTTTCTAATAAAAATTTTAATTGATTGATGTTTGAATAGCATTTTATGCTGTTGATTAAGTTATTAAAATGTAGAATGAGATGAATGTTCGGACAGAAATATTTCAACTTTCTCAAACTAAGAATTCTATTGAAGTGTTTCACAGAGCGGTTACAACAAAAACAGTTCATGCAGTAAGGTTGACAGTTTGATGAGTAATGAGTTAACCTGATAACACAAAGTAACACAGAGTTACTGAATATGTAAATTAATGCATAACAGTTTGTATCTCCATTATTGTGATGAGTTATAAGTCATTGTTCGAGGTAGTATGACATTTAGTGAAATGAAATGAAGCACACATGACAGAGTTGGCATTTCTTCCAACTGCCCAGCTATTCAGAGATTAATATCAAGTATCAATGGCTTCTTTGTAGAAGGATTATCACTTACAACGTCGAAATTATTACACAACATATTTCTTTGCAAATGGCAATGTTAATTTGTTGCTTATTTAGTGAATATCTGACTGACATACAAGATATTACAAGTGTATTGATATGAATTGATAATTGAAGTCCATCATGTACCTGATTAATATCACTCACTGACATTATTATTTATTATTATTCAGTAAGATGTTAACTATATTCCACATGAAACATATAATTGAGAGACTAGAAAATTTCTCACTATTCAAATTACTAGAATTCCCACAATTTTTATTTGTTTTAGTTTGCTTCAACATGTAGTGATCTCTTTTGTCTACCTAGCTGTTAACATTATAATAATTCAACCTGACTTATGAAAATCAAAAAGTGATAATCGCCAAGTTCTTATTTATTCAGGAAAATAAAGCATTTATCTTGCAGTCTCACATGACAGATTGGTATTGAATGGTCTTCATTGGTGAAATGGCATAATTTTAGTGGAGATTATCAATTTGAAGGTTACTATATTGATTCACTGCTAAGATTTATGTAATCACATAGTGATATGGGAGTTTAGATTGGATGATTTAACCAGCAGATTTAATTAATAGCGAACATCCATTTGGTTATTTAATTAATTAGACTACATGGGGATTATGATTCGATTAAATTAACCACAAAAAGTAGTTAAAGACGCCGCGATAAGGTGTCAGAAACACAGAATATAAATATACATTTAAACTAAAAAGACCCATTCTTTAAACAGTTAAGAAAATGAAAAAAAATAAACTTCGACCTATTCTGGAAGACAGAAACATTCCTGTACGACTCCAGCAGACTCATCACTAATATTAATAATTAACAAATGAATTTCGTTGTGTGAGAAACGCAAGACGCAAGATGCAATCAGTGTATGTGGTGTTGTGTGATTAGCCGAGGTAGGATGGAATGTTGGTGATCAGTACAGGGCAGTCGGCCAGAGTCGGGTATGCGTTGAAGCTAAATCTTGAGGTGAAATAATTAAAAGGAACACATAGGCCAAATTCGCATACTCAGCGTTGCACAAGCAACCAGCGATAGTGGAAGCACAGAAAGTTATAAAAAAACAACCGACAAGAATACAAACTGGGAAAAATGCTGAAGAGCATGGAAATAATCGAAATCAAGTTGGTTTTGCCAGTACCTATGACAAACACAGATTGATCATGTAAAAGAAAGGTGTTACTAAACATTGACGAATATTAATGAAACATCTGTACCATCCACCTCATTCCATGTATCATTACTTGCACAGCATTTCACATGATCTTCTCATTGATGAACGGTGTGTTTCGAGTAGAGTTATCCGTTCATGTTGAAGGTAGTGAAGGAATGGAGGATGGAGTGTAGTGGAGTGGAGTGGACACGAACTGTTAGCATGAATGATCTAGGCTTCGTATATGGATTTGTGAGTAAGTGTGAGGTTGTGGATGTGTGCATCAATGAGTGATAACGATGATGACGATGTTGGCGATGACGAAAATGACGGGATGGCGAAGGTGGTCCATTCGGTGCACTGGTTAGGTGGACCACCTGCGAATGCAGGTAATGTACAATTACAATTGCAATATACGAAGTAACCACCTCCATCGCCCGACATCCGACTACTGCAAATTCTCATTCATCAACATCTCACCATACTAGTGTGAGCCAATCAACACACAATATGCACGTCATTGGTCACTAACTAACTCATCACTGTGAATTGCAGTGATCATGCATGCATCAATCCATGCGTTGTTGTTCAGTCAGTCATCGATTGATACAGTCGTTGAAATGTGAACCCGATCGCTGTACACCGTGTCCTGTGTGTAGTGTAGTGAGTAGTGTGTGACACATCATAACAACACTGACATTGCATGAGGTGAGCAGACGAAAGTGAGTGAGAAGATTTGACAACATTGTAAATTTGACCACTGGATTTGTCTTACTTATGAGTAGTATGGTGCGCTGTGTGCAACAAACTGACCAGTCAACTAACTAACTCACTTGTCTGTCAGTCGACATTTCGGCTGAAATTCACTAACCAGCTTACAACGACAATTACACTTGTCTACATGAGAAAAAATTCTCTCATTGTTGCTTCGTCACGACTTTAGCACAGGAACTTAGAAATTTCAGTCTCGTAGTAAATTTATATTTTTATGATTATTATGTACTCGAACTTATGTTTGAAAGCTTCTCTACAATATTGATGAACTGAATAAATGTAATGCATTATTTAGTGTTATGCGCATAGTATGTTCTGTGAATAAATGTTTCAGTTATTTTCAACTGATAGGTTGTGTTTTGGTAAGCCATATATTCATCACTATAATGATAATTGGGGCACAGTTTTGGAGGATTTGCGTTTTTACACATTTGAAATCATTAATCAATCATCATTGTTAGACCACCATTAGAAACCTGGAAGCACTGGACGGCCGTTTCGTCCTAGTATGGGACTCCTCAGCAGTGCGCACCCACGACTCCTGCTCCTCGCTGGATTCGAACCCGGGACCTTTGGCATTGTAGGCGAACGCCTTACCATCGGACCACTGGGACGGCACCGAACGGTGTTAATGTCTAACTCTGGCTGGATGCCGGCCCAGTGGTCCGATGGTAAGGCGTTCGCCTACAGTGCCAAAGGTCCCGGGTTCGAATCCTACCAGGAGCAGGAGTCGTGGATGCGCATTGCTGAGGAGTCCCATACTAGGGCGGAACGGCCGTCCAGTGCTTCCAGGTTTCTAATGGTGGTCTAACAATGATGATTGATTAATGATTTCAAATATGATAATAATATTTCATTGTTTACTTTTATCACGAACACTGTCAACTTTTCATGCAAGTTTATCTTTTAGATTTATACAAAATATTAGTTTATCTAATTAATATTCGTACAAAGTTTTTTTGTTTTGAAATGGTCTTAATTTTTTTGTCATGAATCACATTTAATTCATTCGTAAATATCACGATTTTCTTGAATTTCCATTTTATAATAATTTAAATTACGTCTGCGTTGTTCTTTTTTTTTGTAAGTATACGTAACAATGAAATAAACATGGTTTTAGTCTGTTTAAGTGTAAATGAAATTCATTTAATAGTCTGCAATATTGTTTGTTACATTTTTCTAACCTATGATTGGTTGAATTCGTCATGTTGACAATATACACCAGATTTTAAATAAGTTTCTAAATAATGCATCTATAAATTTTATAAGTTAGTATAATAAACATTTTATGGGACACTCAGTTATACATACATACCATCCTGAACCAAGAGTAGAATAGATTCAACAAAATTAAATGAATATCTTTTGAAAAAAAGAGGGAGTCAAATCTCTTTAAGGACAAATGTGATCATGATTAATTTCGACAAAGTTGTCATTATCACTCATCTATTCGTTAACTGATCATATGTACAAAAGTGTTTTAGTTGCTTGTGATACTTGGCAAACGGTTCATAACAATTTCAGTAATGTTTAGTGATATGTCTAGTGCACCATTTCCAGTATTTGCTAATACACTATCAATGAACCATTATCGTCAGTCTAATGTTGCAGAAGACATAATAAAATGCAAGCAATTTATCACTAGAACAAGTTGGTTTTATAATTGGTACATGGAAAGGTATAACTGATACAAATCATACTCAAATGAATGGATGTTATTAATTTACATCAAATTAGACAAAAAAAATTCTAGCATATTTAAAAGGATCACTTAAATCATAATTTACTGGATTACCAAATAGTCTCATGTTAAAATAGATAAGTATCTGAATTAAACGAACTACAATATTTTGGAAGTGTAGTTGTTGAATTCTCGATATAGTCTGTACAAAGAATTACTTTATACCATTATGCTCATCAATCTGTTTGCTTGGAATGATGATTGGATTTTTTTTTGACGGTTGGGCTGGTGATCAGTTCGGACAGGAGGAATTATCAATAATTTTAGCTGTGTAATTGAATTTATATTTAGTAGTATAGCGCCTCACTTATAATTGAGTCTATTGAAATTATTCGATAATAGTATGTAGCATTTTAAATATTTATGATAATTCGATAACACTATCAACTATGTTATATGACAGTGAGTGTGTACATGCTTATCAGCTTATTAAATGTCTAGCCTATTATTGCTTGATTGTAAACACTTAGTCATGCAACATCGCACAGTGTTGGCTCGCTTACCTTCTGCAATTTGCTTCGCTTTGTTTTCACTCTTTCAATTCTCATGTCTGTCTGCTAAAGATGAAGGCATGAAGTTAATTCATCTACGAAACCACCATCGTACAAATGTGTTTCAGTGTAAATTTCTCTTGGTTATTGTTCATAATTAACTAATTTCAATATATCAACAGAACAATATCTGAACTAATTATTATTATCCATGGAAATTCTATAGTACCTTGAGATTTGAAATTTTTTTTCTATGCTTTCCTTGTTCAATTTGTACCTACATTTTTCATGACATATATGAGGTAATACAGAGTTAAAGTTAACTGTTATGGCACGATCTGATTCGATTAGTTCTGGAATAAAATCAGTGTAAAATTTTGAGAAGTATGAAGTTATTTTTTTGTCATCTTTTCTATAACTTATAGATAATTTTGATAAAGATTTTTGATAAAATCTGTAGAAAATCTGCAGAAAAATCAAAAAATATTTGGAATACTATACTAAGTATTAGCATTTACTTATAATAAAGCCTTCAACCTGTCAGTCACATATAGTTTAACTATTCTAGTTGATTAATGCAAAGCGATGCAGATTGATTCTTTGAGTTTGTTTAGCTACATGGGTATGACTAAATTCCGTCTTTATTATGAAAATAAGTTTACAAAGGTAAGAGAATTATGAAATGTTAGGTATAATTTAAAATAATACTGTATGATTAAAGTGGTTTGTAAACACTAAAGTTTATACTAAGATCAGTATTTGGGGCAATCATTTACAGAATATTAAGTATAACGACCTTGGTTGCTTAACCAACTAAAAATGACAGATTTCAAACGTTCACATTTCCATTATCACAAAATCGATTAAGCTTAACCAACGATTTTTATTTTCCAGCTGATGATATTCAGGACTTCAATTCTAGGTGGAAGCCCAAATAAACTTCTGATTAAAATATCTTAGTGTACTTAGATCATGTTTTGGAAAACTCGTAATGAAAAGATAATTCTGAGATAAAATGCATACACTAACAGAAAGTAGTCCTTTGGAATTTTGTGTATCAAAAAATTGGCTTTCCTATATTTCATAACGAGAGGAAATATGAGAATTTTATCTAGCTCTCTAACATTGAATTGTAATAAGAGGCTCTATTAAGCCTTATGCAATTGAAAATCACAGTTTCATTGAACCTAAATTTAGTTTAAGTCTAAAGTGAAATGTGTTTATGAATTTAAACTTAATCATCGTAACATAACTTTCTCAAAGTGAAAAATCATTGTACTGCGTCAGAAAATCGAAGATGAGATCTGGAAGTGTAGGAAGACAGGTGTACTGATAGTAGTAAGAAAAATAAAATATGATAACACAAATTTTAAGAATATCAAAGATTACCATTGTGAAAATTAGAACAACACATAAAGGCGAAAAATATTGTTTTCGATTAAATCGTCATCAGTAGGTCATTGTAGGTCAAACGTGGATTATTAGACTTCAAACAATCATTACAAAACATTGAAACCATTACGTAATAAGAAGCAGCAGTCGTGAATGAGCACTGCTGATGATTCCCGTACCTGGACGAAACGGCCGTCCAGTGATTCCAGGTTTCTAATGGTGGTCTGACGTTGATCGATTCATGGTTTCAAAAATGTTTAAAAAGAGTCTCATCAGTGGTAGGTCAAACGTGCACAATTAGATTTAAAATAATCATTACAAAACATTGAAGCCATTACGCAATGAGAAGTGTTTAGATAATTAGAAGAGAGTGAAGAATACAAACGGAAAGAGGCAGAGAATGACCAACAAATACCTGATGTGAAAATAATGCTATTAATCACAAAATGAAATGTAAACCGAAAAAAATCTAAATCTTAAATCGTTAGTTATGTCATATGACAGTATGGTTTGAGAAGGGTCAGTCAAAAACAATACGCTGTTCTATATTAGCACATATGGTTGATAGTGGTCATATTGTAGATAAGTCTAGATCTTTTCAGGTTATCTATCGTATACCTCAATCATTTCCCAACCGAGTTCAATCCCATCTCTTACACATTTCAGAAGACATAGGAATTCGTACATTCAACCCCAATTTATGTGTTCAGGAGAAACTCGTGACAACCCTATCTCTTGTGTGGCCAGATATGACGTAACTAACGATTTAAGATTGAAATTTTTTTGTTATATATTTCATTTTGTCATTAATAGCATTATTTTCACATCAGGTATTTGTTGGTCATTCTCTGCCTCTTTCCGTTTGTATTCTTCACTCTCTTCTAATTATCTAAACACTTCTCATTGCGTAATGGCTTCAATGTTTTGTAATGATTATTTTAAATCTAATTGTGCACGTTTGACCTACCATTGATGAGACTCTTTTTAAACATTTTTGAAACCATGAATCGATCAACGTCAGACCACCATTAGAAACCTGGAATCACTGGACGGCCGTTTCGTCCAGGTACGGGAATCATCAGCAGTGCTCATTCACGACTGCTACACCCCACAGGACTCGAACCCAAGACCCTGTGTATTGTGTGCGAACGCCTAACCTCTGGGCCACTGAGCCGGTATCTAACGGCGCTAGTGTCTACCTTGATCAACTGACAGATTTGCACAACCTCATACGCATTCTTCGGTAGTTACTGTCTACACCCGAACAGGTTAAACCTTACTGGTCACGACTTCCTACGAGAACTCGGAGAAGATTCCTCACGAAACTAGTCACTAGTGCGCACAGGTAATATGCATTATGAGGTTGTTAAGATTGTTAAGTTACACATTTTTGAAACCATGAATCGATCAATGTTAGACCACCATTAGAAACCTGGAATTACTGGATGTCCGTTTCGTCCTGGTATGTGACTCATCAACAGTGCGCATCCAACAATCTTCACAACCCCGTAATGAAAAAACTTTGTTATCGTATTTTATTTTTCTTACTAATATCAGTACACCTGTCTTCCTACTATCAACTTGTACTTTTGCCTATTATGTGTAGTGACGTGATCTATTTCATTTCATTGAGATTTGGAAGTGTACTAAACAAAAACTGTCAAGTGTTTTTCATCTCTCATTGTTTCTTAAAACACTTTTTTTGATTCATAATTATGTCAAATATACATTTTTGTCCATTTAACTTAAATGGTCTTTTATAATTCAAGTTATATACTACTCATTAGGAACGGATTGTTGATTCCCTTGAGTTAGTATTATGTTAGTATTATGTTTATGTCTTTAAAACAAATCAAAATTCTAACAGAATCTGTTATAGTTTGTATCATCCCGTTGCTGATAATTTTCATTGAATTTTGATCATTCTTAAGTGACTTATGTACACTCGATGAGGCTTGACCCGACACAGTCATTATGTCATAAATTTTTTAATTATATAATTGTAACTAGTCACATATCATTGATAATTATTTTACCACTCTGCTAGAAATACTCATAAATTCAATTATTTTGAAAGAAACAAAGAAAACAAAATCATCTTGAAATTATAGAAATAAGAACATAAAATTATTTTTATAAATATAAATACAGACCCATAACAATTTATGTATATTTATATATGTGTATATATCAATTGATTTCATCATTATCTATCATCCATTATATTTGAAAATATTTTTCTTATAAACACGAATGGAAATCTTCATCCATGTAAAAAAAAGAAGAGAAGAATTATGACTAATGAAATGCAACAATTGAGAACAATTTAAATAAACAGACAAAATAGAAGAAGAACCAAGTTCATCAAGGCTTGTTCGGTGAGAGAGACAGTAGGTGTGTGTTGCTTTTTTCTTTCTTCTTGTGTTTTTTAATATATTTAAAACATTAATTGTATTCAATGGATTGATATAAAGTGGGAAGAAAATATCATCTTTGAAAATAAAGTAGTCCTTTTTTGTCTACGGCCTAAATTTTCATTATTAGTTTTTCTTTTATTATACAAAACTTGTTGGGAATTTTGTATAAATATTTTGCGGTGATATAAATTGATCATCTGTTTGTGTATGAATTAATTGAGCATAACCAAGTGGATCCACTGGACTAAATAATATCATTGTACCTTCAGTAGATTGAGACATATCAGCTTGTGATTCTTCTTTAGGATAATTATTATTGTTATTATTGTTACTACTATTATTTGTAATAGTAGTGTTGTCATTTTCTGAGGATAATAATTTGCATTTCTCATTTGTATTATTATTCATGTTGATACTAGCAGTAGCAGTACAACAACCAGCGCTTGACGTAAAATTACATGCAGAAGTGACAGGTTTAGAAATGCAATTTTGATCAGTAGTGCAGTGTGAATGTTTATCTAACCATGAAACGGACAAACGATTCTTAGGTTGTTGTTGTTCGACATTATATTTGAGACAACATTTTGGATCAACTGTTTTCAACAGATCATTAGATGATTTCGCAGGATTTAATTTAGTTGAAAAATGTGTTATACCGTCTCCATCTGCATTGTCATTATTATTTATAGGGATTGAACATAGTGGTAATGTTCCACTTCGTCTACGACATGCTAAAACTCTCAACGTTAAATCATCCTGTTCTGTGGGTAATAATTCTGGGCTTTTTGATAATAGGGCACTTTTTAATTGGTCAACATTAAGTGAACAGTAGCAGGCTGGATCTATTCAAAAGAAAAAAAAGAATTATTTCTCAGTTTATAAATTACTGTTTATTTATTTTTCAATTAAATACTATGAAACAAGGAATAACATCACGTTCTGTTTGAATAGGGCATTTATTTTGTAAGTTACATTTTACTAATCATCGAAATCCACTATCAATAAAATACATTTACACCCAGCCACGTTAAATGTAGGGATTTGGCCATTTTACACTTACGAATCAGTATCCTATTCATATTTCCTCAACTTTAATTTCTCTAAATTCATATTTGCCTACCGAAGTAAATATACATTTTGAAGGTACTGAAATAAATGGTTTCGAAGGGATTTCTGTTTATCAGAATGAATAGTGAAAGGATGATAATTCATAGGACTAACTTAGGGTTTATTACTGTATATTTCTTTTTTCAATAGTTTTTATTTGACCCAGTAATTACTGTTATATAGTTTAATAATCTTAATTCATCCACAACCTATTAATTACAGTCTTCCTTACTCACAGCCAATTTTGGGCTTGATTGTATATAATTCTTATTTTTGATTTTGGTGAGATGCTGCCTTAATCTGCTTGTATGTAAGCCAAGTCTGTCTGAAATACAAATATAGTGCAGGCTGGTTCTGCTTTCTAGATTCAAGGGTAGGGTAGAGAGAGTCGAGGGAACCAACCGGAATTTGGTAGTTGACTCAAGATTATTAGCACTGAAACGTATTCCAATCGGTGTTTTTGTCACATCAATTCAGTCAGTGGTCGAAAGTCATAATAGTTTTATTGTTTTTCGAAAGTAAGGCTTCAGGCACAGAGAAATATTTATGGCTATATTGGCTAAACATTTACTGAACCATGGGCACTCAATGAGAACTATACATCACAGAAATTATTAGGGTGGAAGTGTTTGTGAGCACCAGAAAAGCCTAACTAACTTTGTTATGTCTTGGTAACATGAGCTGAAATATTTTTCGATAGAATAATTTCCAATCCAAGTAAATTTCTTTTAATCATATCACTTGCTTTGGTACTCACTTTTTATTATTATTCTTGCAACATCTTCCTTCATTAAATTACTCACTAAATTCAGTGATCTGTTTGTTTTTAATTGAAGGCTGAATGTAATAAATAAAGATCAGTGAAATGGAATAAACTCTATTCGTTCCACAAATCATACTGTTTTTCTAATCTAGTTTCAAACTTTAAAGAGATCTAGATGTAGGAAATATTTCATATAGGCTTAAATAATCATGATACAATAGTATTACCTTGTGTTTACGATTTCATTTGAAAAAATATGCCAAACAATGTAACACGTTTAAAATCAACAATTAATCAAAACAAATAAACCTACAGGGTAATTCATGCTTGTCTAAAAAGTTATGTCATATTTTTAAAGTGAAATCTGAACTATCAGTTTTATGGCTTTGATAAGAAAAATTTGTTATCTGACTTTGTAACTCGACTTCATTTATTGGCATTCATATGCGTAAAATAAAGAGATTACCTTTGAGCCTCTGAGTGTTCAACACTATCAACAACTGAACAACTGTTACAAGTTTTACATAAGGATAATCAACAAATTTCCAAACTTACTGTTGGGGATGTTAGATCCCCAGAACTCACTTGGAAAAAGTCCTAATTTTGTAATTTGTTTCCGAAATTTTGAATTTCTATGTTTTCGCGCTAAGGACGCTTAGTAGACCTTCAGCTTACATTTCCCACACGGAAAATCCTCGATAGTCATTGGTTGAAGGATTAGTTTAGTGCTCTATTTTAGGGCTCTCCATGGGGTGTTGCTATCATTGTATGAATAAGCTTGAGTTGTGTACTTAGCAAACTCTACCTTTTTGGGTGCATGCGAATATATTTTCTGTGCGTCTTATCACGACCTCTTCCTTTAATTAGTAGGGCCTGTGACAATCGGATTAGAATAGCCTACTGTGTCACTGCATCGTTGATCTTCGTCCGTTTACCGAGTAAGATGAACACGTAATAGTTTCAAGCATATCATATACCGAAACATCAGGCGATATTTATGATTGCAACTTATTTATGAATATGTAAAGAACAATTGTATAGTTTATTACAAATTTCTTTTTCAAACTGTTGAAATGGTTTATTCTGGAATAAATGTATTTCCGCTCTTTGTCTCTTACATCATAAAGTCCGTTTACATATTTACCTAGTAACTGACTGAATAAATATGTTGACTGTACTCAAACAATGTATTCATGTTTTATATTGATGATGAAGTATAACATTTCACTGAAAGCAGGTCGCCTACTTTATTCACTTTCATCTTTTTGCATTTTCAATGCTTTTTTTTCAATTATACATTTAAGAAAATGTATTACATATGGGAAAGTATAATAAATTTAATTAATAAGATATCTATAATTTATTTCACCTGAAACTCGATTACTGAAATAGATTGACAGAATAATGTCTACATTTTCAATCAATACTTTTATAAAATGAGACATTTTATAATTAGTAGTTTGATCATTTTATCAGATTCAAAATTATACCGTTAACGGTTCCCAAGTCTGAAACATTTCCGCATAAGTTAAACAACCAATATTTCTCTTTCATCAACAATCAAGAATATGTATGAGCGATACAGATGAAGAAAAGAACAATTTTTATGTATCTGTACGTAGTAGTATGATATAAAATCTGCGAAAATTTTTTTAAGTTTGGTTCGGGTTGAATGAGCTAATCCTCTACAAGCTAAGTTGAACAGACACCGATAAAATTGTTACATAACCAAATAATTGATTGACAATAATTGTTGATAGTCTACGGATCTCGTGATAAGTTTCGGTGCATCAATGTCGACATGAACAGCAGATACAATTTGTGGATAAGATACATAGATATTATATTCGGGGAATGAGTACTCTTTAATAACAACTACCTTCATGATAATAAAAGAACAACTGTGAAACAGGAAATCAATTTTACTAGTCATTCTGATGTACATAGTAATCAATAAATATCCACTGACGCCTATGAAACAAAATTTATCTGTTCATTTAAAATGTAGGTTAGCAAGGTGGTATGATTATGGACAGGTAAAATTATTTAATATTTAACAGAGTCATTTTTAATTAGTTTAAATTAACAGATCGAACAAACTGTTAACTTCAGGAAGTGCTATAATAAAATAGTAATTGTCGAAGTACCAATAACTTATAAGATGCCTGTATCATAATAACGTTTGTTCGTTTAATCTTGATTTGAAAAATGACTTTGTCGATTCTTAGGTTGACGATGATATTTATTTCGTTAGAAAATATCATTTCATTGATCATGATCAGTGAACGCTTTACGATAGATTAGTGATTTCACTTCTACAGTTAATAAAATTTATTAGCGAGACATTTCAGAGAATCACCAATAGCCTAGTTGGATCCTGATTATCTTTAAGGAAACTTATTTAAATATAGCACTAGAAGAGCTTTGGTAAGAACAAAGACATTATAGTAACATCACTCCTATACTTATCTAGTTCAACTTATACTAACAATGAATTTCACATATTTGTTGTTGATTTTTATTAGTTGCTCTCTGTATGCTATTTAAAAGTTATTTTTATACTTTTAGTGTGGGTAGTAATCAAAGCGATGTACTTTGTTTTTATCAAGGCATTTTTACTGATTTCATCTTTAGTAATTAATTATAAGGACTAATATTCGTTGTGTTCTGACTAACAGAATAATAATATGAATCTGTACATTGAATGCAATTGAAAATTCGATATTATCAGTAAAACGGTCGTATGCATTGAATAAACATACAGACATTTTTGTCATAGTGTGATGACAAAATGATAATAATAATAATAATAATAATAATGTTAGTATGATCTGTCAGTTATTGCATATTTACTCTACTTATAAGAACACATACATATTTCTAATAATGACAAAATAAAATTTAAACCAAAAACATTTTTTAGTTTTAAATCGCTAGTTACGTCATATCCGGCAACGGAAGAGATAGGGGTGTCACAAATTTCTTCTGAACACATAAATTTCTGTTGAATGTACGAATTCCTGGGCTTCTGCTGTGTGTAGGAGACGGTATCGAACTCGGATTGGAAAATGATTGAGGTATACGATTTATCACCCAAAGTTTCCACAATGGGAATCTTTAATATTCTTAGATCATACGGGGATCCTGCTGCATTTAGGGCACTCAATGAGTTCCTGAAGTTTAATGCATATCTCACGGAAGCGAAAACGAGCTTAGGATTTGTTGCTAATTGTATTCAGTTTAACAGATATTCTAAAGTATGTTGGAAGTCACTGCGTCCGGACAAAGTCTATTTTAATGCAAAAACACTTGAAAGACATGCGTCTAATGAAATTGATATTTTAAAAATGAATATCCGCGACTTGGAAAGGAATTTTCTTCTCTGTAGATAGCCTGCCATCGGAGATTCATTCAATATTTATGGACTATGTCGAAAAAGTTTCTAAGAACAGATCTGAGAAGACAATCAGAAAACTAGTGAAAACTCTGGAAAACAAAAACCAGAAAAGGAATTTCCTCTTTCCTTCGACTCGGTATGTACATAATTTTTCAGATATTGTACTTGATGTAATACAGTTAGAAGCCTTGTCCCTTTAGCCTAAATTTTGTGATAATGGGCAGGAAGTCAATCAACTAGATACCGATGTGCAGTTTGAGAATTTATTTTCACAAACAACTGACATTGTCCCTACCTGAGTGGAGGATGTAGCTAGGTTTAAGACAACGTTAGTCGATAGCTGCCTAATATATAAGAATGGTATGCGTCCTAAAATCGCCTTTTCACTAAACTGCACCGTGAGGCTTGAACAAAACTCAAGAAAGATGAAACTTTGATCATGAGCAAACCAGGCAAGGGGGGAGGTATAGTTCTAATGAATAAAACTGATTACGCAGATAAAATGTAAGTAATGCTTGATGATCCTAGCAAGTTTCAAAAAGTCACCAGTAATAATGATATCAATAAAAAAGTGGAAAAACAATTGACGAATTCTCTCAAGGAACTAAAGAAAAAGGGAATAATTACGCCTGGAATTCAGGACTCAATTAAACCGACTGGATCTTATACACCACGACAATATGGTTTGCCAAAAATTAACAAATCGGGTGTTCCTCTACGCTCGGTTCTAGATATGTCCGATTCTCCGTACCACAAAATTGCGAAGTGGCTAGTGAGAATTTTAGAGCCATTGTATAAATCAGTTGTACGTAGGAGTGTAAAAGACGTTTTTGAGTTCACTTCCATGATAGAACATATGAATGTTAGCAGGAAAAATATAATCTCACTGGATGTGGTATCTTTGTTTACCAACGTACCACTCCTTGAGACCACTGAATTCATATGCGAGCAAATTAAGGAGAAACAAATCAATATTGGCTTGCCCGAAGATTGCCTTAAAGAATTGCTCCTAAGATGTACGATGAACGTCCATTTTGTATTCAACAACACTTACTATAGACAAATAGACGGTATAGCCATGGGCCCAATTCTAGCTGACCTCTTCCTAACAAAGCTAGAAAATGGACCACTTAATGAAGCTATTCCGAAACTTGATCTATATTGTCGGTATGTCGATGACACATTCATCATTGTAGATCAGGATATGAGCAAAGAAAAACTCCTTTAACGTTTCAACAGTGTACACACGGCAATTCCTTTTACTGCTGAAGAGGAGTACGATAAAAAGCAAACTTTCCTTGACGTCAAACTAAGTAGGTGAATTGATGACTCGCTAAGTAGAAGCGTAAATAGAAAAAAAATCTCTCCGCCTGCCAATACACTCAATTTTGTAGTTTTGCGCCTATCCACTACAAAAGAAATTTGGTTAGATGTCTCACTAGCATAGCGAAAACGATATGTTCAGTGGATACTTTAAGTCAGGAACTGGAATATATCAACAGCTCACTAACCGAGATCGGCTACCCTAGTGAGTTCTCTAAAAAGTATATGTACAATCTAAAAAAGAAGCTGGAGGCTTCGACCGTTCGAAAGAATCCATTATTAATTAAATTACAGTTCAACAGAGATGTTGCCTGCCATACTTTCCAGGACAGATTAACGAGAGTAATTAGTAGAACTTTCAACGCAGCCAAACTTGCGTTGACCTCAAGTCGACCAGCGATGTATACCCAAACGAAGGATAAGTTACCTGTGTGCATTCACAAATTCAGCTGATCCTGTGGAGATAGCTATACTACTAGGCAACTTAATCAACGAATGAGTGAACATCTCCCAGCATGGTTTAAGAAGGGTCAGTCAAAATCAATACGCAGTTCTATCTTAGCACACATGGGTGATAGTGGTCATATTGTAGATAAATCTAGATCTTTTCAGGTGATCTATCGTATACCTCAATCATTTCCCATCCGAGTTCGATACCGTCTCCTACACATGGCAGAATCCATAGGAATTCGTACATTCAACCCCAGTTTATGTGTTCAGAAGAAACTCGTGACAACCCTATCTCTTGTGTGGCCAGATATGACGTAACTAACGATTTAAGATTGAAATTTTGTTTGGTTTATATTTCATTTTGTTATTAATAGCATTATTTTCACATCCTGCCCGAAAAAAAACATCCTGTATTTGTTGGTAATTCTTTGCCTCTTTCCGTTTGTATTCTTCACTCTTTATTTATCTAAGCTCTTCTTATTACGTAATGGTTTCAATGTTTTGTAATGACTATTTTAAGTCTAACTATCCACATTTGACCTACAATGACCTACTGATGACGATCTAATCGAAAACAATATTTTTCGCTTATATGTGTTGTTTTAATTTTCACAATGGTAATCTTTAATATTCTTAAAATTTCTGTTATCGTATTTTATTCAACACCCATCAGCTTTTCTTCATAAGACAAAAACCCTCATCACTTTATTTTACAGCCCAAAAGGTAGCAGTTAAACTGTTGTAATCATGTTTGAACCTTTGAAATATTTAGATATCCACAGTTATTAGTCAATAAGAATTAGGCAATCACATGTTGTTTCAAGTTACCAAATGAACATTTTTAAGAAATGAAACGATAGTCCGTACTACTAGTAGCGTGAATGAACTTACTTTGACGAAATGTCGCATTGTTAACCCGATAAGTATTGAGTGAACTCTGAGGTCGTGAAGTAGAGAAATGATTTTCTATCATTCCTGTATCAGTACTACATCCATGGCCACTGTCCATACTCTCGATATCTTCTGTTATCTAAAGAAATTCATTAAAATAAGAATCATCTATTATAATGAATATCATTATGTAGAGTTATTCACTGTATCATTTTTCTTATCACTCAAAAAGAAAATAATCTGAAGAAATTTAATGCTATACTCTCGTCATACACAGCTTGACATTATAATTATTATTCTATCAATTATAAATTTTTTCATTGCTTATTTTGATATTTATAGGTTATGCTTGATTGACATTTTATTAGAGATTGCGCAAACATAAAATGGAATATTTTATAAGACGTGAAAATGGAATAATTAATGAAAACGTGTGATATTTGTACAGTCCTATTGAGTGACAAGTAATCGTCAGTATCAGTGGATTAGTTTATTAATATAAAAAATTTATTTTTCAAATTGTTTTAATGAATTATTCTACTACTTATTTATCAATAGATAACCATTAAAATTTTAACATATTCTACCTTGTATTGTTCATAAAATTCTAAAATCTGTGTTATTGATTTTATCATGTTGCCAGAATTGGTGATGTCTGAAGCTCATTCATTCAACTTACCGTCAAAACTTTAGACTAAGATCTAAAGTCAAATTAAGGATTCAAAATACTGAAAGTATGAGCTAGTTGTTTGGAAACGAATAAGTATTTTCATTGGAAGATAAATACTTCAATGATCCGGATCAACTTAAAGAACATACATCAGTTAAGGTGAAGAAAAAAAACTAGGACAATTAAAATAATTTCAAGTAAAGTAACTCAGTTTTGCTATAGTTCAAATTTCATTGATTAAAGGCGAGTATTCTTGATTTTATATTCAAAAATACTGGAATTCTAAATAAAAGACCGTGTAGGTTCGCTCTTTTCTTCGAACGAGGTTCTAAATTAGTGACTCAAAAGAACACGCATTGAGTTTCACTTAATTTCCTTACTCGTTTGAAATTAAGTATTTTCATTTGAATCTCCTGGTGTCATAATATAAATAAGAGACTTTCGTTAATTCTTAATTTTCTGTGATTGTGTGTACATCGTGTAATACTCTTTTTGTTCACTTGTCATCGTACTTTATGAACGTTACATGTAGATTGCTTAACAGCAATAACGTTTAGAATACAGAATCCTAACCACCGACTCAGCTAATTACTACAGCATATTTCAGTCCTGTACTCTGTAAATCTAGAAGTTTTCCTGTTAATGTAACCGGTAAGATTATATAGGGTAATATGGAAGGGATTTGAAGTGATAATATACAAATCGACAATAGCTAAATGTTATCTCCAAAACCTCGTACCAGAAGGCAAAGAGTGATTACTTGCTTTGAAGAACTTATTTTAGGGAGGAAAAAACTAATTTTTTCCATTGCGGTTTTATCTGTGGTGATTGTTAAGTAAATTTGTTTACTTATTACTTGAACAAATATCGTACCAAGTTAGTGTCATTATGTACAAATATACAACGGAAATAGTTGTGATATAGTAGATCGTCCTACTGATCGATTATCACACCTTAATAATCAATGGTTTCATTCCTGATAGAGTTCTGTCACTTATAAGGAATATCACTCAGATTAAATGAATCAAAATTGGACAGATTATTTAAGAATGCTTTAAACATTGTGGCGGTGGACGTTAAAGTATGACCCAATCTGAATGACTTTTTATTAGATAAATGTGAGTACTACTATAAAGTAGTCAGATATCACTTCACGTAAAAACCATTATCTCTAGTTTGTAATAAAAGTTAACTTGTTAATTCTTAGTTTCATAATATTCTAACTAGATATATTGATTTACAGTGACTGAAAGATCTAAATTTATGAGTGAAGATATATGTAAAATACAGAATGTTATTTGTTATCTTAGTTATTGGTCATGTAATGAAATAACCAATATGAAACTGTCGAAGTATTCAGTTCGTTTTGCTAGTTAATTTCTGTAGTACATAGCTACAGATCACAAAATTTATGGGCAATGAATTATGGGTAGAAGTGCAGAGTAATGAAACATGTTTTCTGCACAAAATAACCTAAAAAGCTTCAGAAATCACTTGACTAAAAAAATTCTTTTTTTTCGTTAAACTACACAAGTGTTAGTTAACAATCATGGATATGACAACTTAAGTGAGATGACATTTGAGAATGTGTAGATCTTTATTAAGACTGTTGTTAAATTCAAATCAGACAGTATATAAAGACTATTTTTAGGCAGAGAACTAATCAAGTAGACCTTCAAAGTAATACTTTGATTAACATCAGTAAGGGCGTGAGCAAAGGAGTGACTATCGAACATCTTTTTTTAATAGATTATCTTGGCTGTTTGATGTATGCACACGAGATAACATGAATTGGGGTCTTAAGAATAGCAATCTGTTACCGAATTCAGAAAATCACAGTCTTTGTCGAAAGTAGACTGTTGATCATACGTTTGGAAAAATGTTTTTGATTGATTGTCAAGAGATGGAGGGTGAATCGGACACAGTTCACAACACTAGAAACTTTATTCCCGTTTGAGTAATCACCGCTTGTAGATCTTTCAGGGCTATTGCAGGTCCAAAGCCCGGATAAAGGAGAAGGGTTCGGTTTGGGGTTGGCGACCCTACCCCGCAAAAAACTAACTCGCTCAAAAAATGCTAACAAGAAAAAATAATTCAAACCGTATAAACTCTGCTCTGGGAGTTAGAAGGTTGGTGAAAGCAGAGTTTTCTCAGAAGTCACGAGATCGATGCTCTTACTGACAACCAGAACTTTTCCATGGTGTGTGTCCGGGAAGTAACATCCACCTTCATACCCATAAAAGCACACGAGACCGAACTTGTCAAAATACTCTAGGATGAATAGATGAACTCGACACATAATGTATGTATTGCAAAATTATCCAAAAGTCAGTTTGGTAGAGTAAGAGAAAGCAAAATACACAAACAAACAATTATCTCCATAATGAAAGGCTTATTTATGCACATTATTGAAATAAATGATTAACGAAAACTAATCATTCTTTTTATAGTATTCGAATACATTTCAAATATTATTCAATCGATATCTTTTTTTTTCCTTTTTCGTTATAAATTATAGAATCAAATAATGACGAATAAAAAAGAAAATCATTGACTAATTTCTATTTGGATTGATTTATGCAAAATTTTCATTCAGAATTTTAAATCAATTTCAAAAATAATCAAAATGTGAGAAAATTTTGAGAGATAAATCTTAGTTTTTTTATATGGTATTTTTTTTTCGTAAATTTTATTTTATTTTATTTTTCACTGTTATTGCTGTTGTTGTTGTTGTCTTTTTTTTTCTCGTTTTGGTGATAGTGTTGGTGTATTTGTAAATTGATAATGAGAAATTTATCATCTATTTAAAAGTTTCATATTGAAAATAAATTTGCTTTTTTACAAATCAATGCGTTTTCTTTTTGATTAGCGAAAAAGATTTCTTGTGATTTATTATTTTTTCTTAATTTTAAAAGTTTCTTTTTCCGCGTTGAAGAAAAAAAAACAATATCTCAGAATTTTGATAATTTTGAGTTAATCATCCATATGGTTTGAGTTGAGAGAGATGAAGGAAAGATTTTAATCAGAATATTTGATTATATTAAATCAATTAAAATAAATCAGCTTTCTTCATTTCGATGATTAACAAATGAGTGAAGATTTCAGTATTTTTTTTAACGACAGTATTTGAACATTCGCCAATTTACGTATTCATCAAAAACGTGATCATTGCCTTAAAGGATAAGGCTAATAATGTTACTCTTTTTTTTCACTTTGATGTACATCCTATCTTCTGATGCAAAGAATTCAGCGAAAAAATTGGCAATAGCCGACAAACCAGTATTTCGACTGCTAGAACCTACTGATGAAGCCCATAAAAGAAGGATTAAATAACTAACTGTGCACGTATCGAAATCAACATAAGCAAACTTGAGTATGCATTACTTTTCTTGATTTATTTATTAGATATTGCTTTACTTCATTAAAACAACTAAGTATTTTTATTAGAACAAAATCGGTCATGATGTTTATGAATCTAGTTCACTGATCAACTATTTGCATTGATGCTAGCCAAATTATATGAAACAAGTTACAATATGGCCATTAGTAAAAGTAACATGGTGTTTTGATTTTTGGTTGTTGAACGCAATTTGTAGGATTAAAGTTATATTAAGTTATATTAAAAATTGACGGAAACCTTGGCTATATGAAAACCAAAGATCCCTTTATCTATCTGGAAACGATTTACTCTCACTCTACTCTGATAATACTGGTTTATTATCCAGAGTGGTTTTTCAAGTTGTTTAACTTATTTTTATCTTGGTTACTTTTTTACTTCTTAACTTATTTGACTGACCTCTTATTTTTTCTGACGAAATTCTGTAGCAATTGTGTATGAGTGATTAGATTTTTCAAAATGTATTGTGCAAATATATCATATAGTACTACTGATAAGCACTTTCTCACCATGTCATCCAAATTTATTTAGACTACTGGAACTTGGTAAGTTACTAGGTTAAACAAAACTGCTAAAAAATCATCCACGTAATCTGAATGGCTCATTAGACATTAGAAAAACACGCTCTCATTGTAATGATCCTGTGTTTCGAGTTGCTAACAATCAATTTAAAATTTTATATCACTATAAATTATTGTTTAAATCGCTTAGTTTATGATTTTCATTACTTCAAATCACAATTACTTCTCTTTAGAATTTCCCTCGCAAATCATTCACAGTTTAATTTACTAATATTTTTATTTCGGAAAACTAATTAACTTGACACTTGAGGTTTTTTGTATTTTATTTTCATTAACAACTGTCATGAATGGTTTTTGTATCAAAATTATCTTGATTGTTAAGTTATAAAAAAATAATATTGAAGAAATATTTTAATAAACAGATAAAACTTTCCATCCAATTCTATGAACTTACTTCGTTAGGTGAAGTTAAATTTCTTAAAGAACCAGGATCTTTATATGATGGTGAATTAATACGAAATTCTGACATTTGTGATGAACCTGCTTTAAAAGTTGAACAAGTTTGATTTTGTTGTCTTAGTGTTGGACATGCTCCCATCAACAATTTCAATTCATGATCAGGAGAATCTTTTTAAAAAAAATGAATGAAAATCGGTTTATTATTGTTTAGCGAAGTGTCTACAGTGCTTGATTAAAGTTTCTATTATGCAATCAAAATTAGTAAATAAAATTCAAAAACCAGAAAGGGATTGTAAATCTGTGTTTTTATATTGTTATATTTCCCTAAAACATATGAACACGATCTTTCTTGAACCCTAAAATATCACATATTGTTTTCATGTTAACAAACTGACAGTTAACTGTTATTTTTTACACCAATATCAAAAGAATCTTTTATGTAAGTAATTAAAAATATGCAGCATCACATAATATTCAATACTTGATTGAATCTATATGTTATTACTAAAAAAATAATGGTAGTTGAAGCATTGTCATTGATTTACTAACCTAGGAATAATCATGTGAACTAGGCGCAGCGGTCAAATTCACAGTGACACTGCATGCAGTTATTTTCATCATGATTTTTTAAAACTGAGTAATTATTTATTTCTACTGTCGGTACAAAGGAGCTTTTATAGGCTTATCCACCAGACAGATATATATTATAAAGCAACATGATTTGATTATCACTTCTTATTTCATTGTTAGTTTTATATTATTATTATACTGCAGTTCATCTTTAGATGAAATCATACATATGACAATCTATATGAAAATATAAGCTATTCAATAATTGAAAATGTTTAAATTTATTATTTTGAGTTAAGCAAATTGTACTTTTGTTGGGGACGTTAGATCCCCAGAATTCGCTTGATAAATGCCTTATTTTGGATTTCCTGTTTGCGAGCATGGGCTGACCAGCTGACCCTGAGAGTTCGTTCCTCACCAGGAAAATCCTTGGCTGTGATTGGCTGCTGTGTATTTCATTGTGCTATTTTCGAGACTGTCCCAAGGACGATTCTATGATGTATAAATAAACGAGAGTTGTGTGCTTGATTGTATTGTGCTTGCTGGGTGTTTGTAGAACATACTTTCTACGCTCATTAAGACTTCTATTTAGCCGTTCGGATCAAGGTTCATTGTCTCGTTCGCGTTTATCCACTAAGGTGAACCAGTAATAGTTTCAAGCATACCTAGTGACGAACCTAACAACTTTATTTGTAATTCTTATTTAATATAATTAGTACTTCAATTCTAAATTCTTAGACTATAATTTACACTAAGCTAAAAATACTGAGTGAACGTAGTAAAAACCTCATGTTTTTCAATGAATATGATCAAAATTTCACTAGACTGAAGGTCCTGGGTTCAAATCCTGCGAGGTGCAGGAGTCGTGGATGTGCACTGCTGATGATTCTCATACCAGGATGAAACGACCGTCCAGTGCTCCCATGTTTCTAATGGTTGTCTAGCATTGATCGAATTATGATTTTGAATTTAACTGTTTATTCTACAAGTTGAGTGAATCATTTGAAATAAATCTTATTTTATGCTATCGAAATGAATGATGAATAGATTAAATCAAATGCAAAAGGATTTATTTACCTTTTTGCATTAGAATACATAAATTGTACTAATTAGAATTAGTTTGTGTTATTTTTTTTGTTGAATCAAAATTTTTAATACACATTTGACATTGTTGTTACTTTGTAATATTTTTTTTGCACATGAATATCGGATCTGATTTATGATCGAAATTAGATATATATCGATAGAATTCATTTATAAATATTAATAAAAATATATTTGATAATTTTGTTACAATTACAAATGATGCAATTATAAATCATAATTCACAGAAATGATTACTATCATATTTGGTTTTTTTTGTTGTTGTATAAACAAATTCTTGTTGATGTCAGTAACCTCATGAATCAATGTATGTCCATAGACTGACTGACTGGTAGTTTATACGGATATATATATGTATATTAGGACAATTTCATAAATATAGATAATCTTTATTTTGATCTATAAAAGTAGAAAACATTACTACCCTGTCTTATCTATTTTAAACACTCTTTAAATTCTTTGTACAAGCATTAATCATACTTGCTAGCGGGGTGAGTGCAGTCAATGCTGTTTAATCGTATTCTTTCGTTTGTTTTTCATATGAAGAAGTGTGAATAGATAAATCAATAAATAAATAAAGCATTTTTGTCTGATTTCTTTCCGGATAATACAAATCACATTGTACTAATAAGTCTGAAAAATAACTAAATCTATCAGTACTGTGATTTAATTAATTTGTCTGTCAAATCTGACAGACAGATATTCAGTTTCAGTTGTTAATCAAGTGATTATCATTCTATAATTAGTTACTGGCAATGTTGACATTCACATAATCTTGATGCTTCTGGTTATGAATGAAATTAATGCAAAACAAACTAATTCTAATGATTACTGCATATTCAGTTATTAAGATATATATGATAAGTGATCAGAAAGAAAATAAATTTATATGAAATGAGGAGTTCTATTTCGGATCACCAGTTTGAATGTTTCGACGCATTATGTAGGCATTCTTAATCATTTCAATGAATATCACCAAAAATTCATCTGATAATGTACCTTAAAGAAATAAGTGAATATTTCACAATAATTAAATATCTTTGTATAACTTACTTATAGTTGATCCAGTATCAAGAAAGCGTTCTTCAACTGGTTTTAAACGACACAATGTTCCAGTTTGACTGGCTCGTTTCAAATTAGACAAGTCATTTAATTTTGAAGGAGAAGGATGTAATGGATGTGTTGAATTGAATAGTTTGTGAGATCTTAAAGTATCAGGCTTTTTCGGATCCACTGCACCACTCATCATCCACTGATTTTTTTCTGCATTTGATAAAAAACTTCTCATCATTTTGTCTGATTCTGTTGGTTGAGGAGGGTAATGAAGATGATTTGGTGGAGGATAAGTACTTAAACCACCTTCACCTAATAAATGTTCAGATCCTGGTGAAAGTAAACCATCTATTTCCAGCATTCCAGAATCTCTAAACACTTCTTCAAGATGATGTGTCTGATTAAGATTTTGTCTATAAAATCTTGGATTATTTTGTTCACATTGTGCTGCAGTTCGTTGAGTACATGCACCACAGCGCAGAAATAAAATTGCCAATATAAGAATTAACGATATGATCAATGTTACAGCGACCATAATTACAATTACAATTAGATCATTTTCTAAATAAGTTCCATGTCCAACAACTGTATTCTTCTGTCTGTTATGTTCACTATCTCCAACAATGTCACCATTGTTTTCACTCAATAAATAGGCACTTGTTTGTGATAAATAACGAAAAATATCAATCTGTAAAACTCTATGATTAACTTTAGCTGGATGACCACGATCACTTGCTTCTAAAACTAATTTAATTGATCCAACATCATCGATACTCATTGATCGACCGACATAAATTGCACCACTTATGGAATCCAGTTCAAACAAATTACCAACATTATGTGATGGTACATATCTCATGTCTGTTTTTGGGACAATTTGTATATTACTGTTAATTGTATTATCTATACGTGTTGATGGACTAGTTATGATTGTTCTGTCAGCTATATTAGGCATATTCGACATAAAACTAGTTTGAACAAGTCGATAAATTACTTCACCATTTTCATTTTCATCTAAATCTTCAGCAATAAGTTGTGCTACACGATAACCAACTGGTTCATTAATGGTTAAATTAACAATCTGGTGATTATGCGCTGGAAATATCCATTGTGGTGAATTATCATTGACATCAATTAAATGTATATGAATTTGTGTTGAAGATGATAATGTCGGTAGTCCGGAATCCATAGCAACTAAATAAAAATTATAAGCTGGTATTTTTTCTCTATCCAAATTACCGCGTGCCACATAAATATAACCCTTAGTTGATACGCGAAATTCATGAATTACTTGACCTTCTATTTGTGGTTTAATGAGATAATGTATCTGTGAGATAGATTAAAGAAGAAATATACAAGTTATTTTATTAATATTCGAATGCTGAAATAAAAAAAGTCAAATAATAATATTTAATGATTTTTCGAAAGAAAATGGTTTAAATAGAATGCGGATAATAATTTAATCAGTGATGGAATCTAGAATTTTCAAAACTATTGGAATATAACTTATCCAAATTCTGGTTTTAGTACAAATTCAAATTAGGAGCTTCCCATCGATGGATATATTTTGATTAATTTTACTAATCGCATTTATTTGTGAAGAAATTTAGCATTTTGCTAACCGAAATAATCTAATTCGCTCATTTTGTACTTCAAATGAAGAAGTCTGATCAACCACTACGAGTGACCTAGTTCTGATAAACTCTGATATTCATATAGTTCACCCTGAAAAGTAGGGAACAAATCAGGGATTATTTTCTGAAAACTGAATTCTCTTCAAATTATAGCCAACCTACTTGTCTCGTGAAAATTGTATGATTTCCCTTCAAACAATAAGTCCATAATGTATTATAGATTCAGAAAATCAGATCACTTAGCGAAATAAAACTTGAAGAATAATAATTTATAAGAAGTAAAATGTTTTCATCCCGACAATTTTTTGCTAAGCTACGTTAATTTTATAACAAGAACGAGAGTGATTTAACAATTTTCTTTGTAAATAACAGATTTTATATTGTCTTGAACTCAGCTGACGGTAACTTGTAACCCGTTAACTGTCTCTTTGTTGTACCCTTTATTGATTTAAAAGGCTTGTATACCAGAGACTAAATAAAAGTAACTGAAATAAACAGTCTATATACTGATCACACCTTACTACATTTTTGCAACAGGTATCACTTCAGTGTAGTATGCACTAAAAGAATCAAATATTTTAATAATGTTACATAAAAATATCTACTGAATTGTATATTGTCATCTAATGAGAAACAGTGATTAATGTTTGAAGAATACAAATTACTATTTTGGCATAATCGAATAACTTTGTCATTGACTAACAAAATCAGCTTCGCCTGTATGTATGTGTTTTGTTTTCCGAAGGTGTCTTCTCTTCACTTTTTAGTGGTCCGATGGTAAGGCGTTCGCCTACAATGCCAAAGGTCCCGGGTTCGAATCCTGCGAGGAGCAGGAGTCGTGGATGCGCACTGCTGAGGAGTCCCATACTAGGACGAAACGGCCGTCCAGTGCTTCCAGGTTTCTAATGGTGGTCTAACAATGATGATTGATTAATGATTTCAAATTTTGTAAAATGTTTTAATTAAAACTTTGGAACTGGTTCGGAGTGTGAAATTCACATAAAAACTATCGTAGAAATAAAAAGTATCCTTTTTCTATTCAGAAATTTTATTGTTCACAATTGAAAAGTTATTCAGTCAAAAATATATATATATATAACTAGACTTCATTTTTTGTTTTGTGTGGTAGGTCAATAATATATATGTATAGATGATTAGACTGATAGGCAGACAAAAGTCAGTTTTCAAAAAGTTTTATCGGATAAAGCTGTCTAATTGAACAGTTGACTGAAAAGATAAAATCATTTGATTTAAGGATGTGAAAAGTGAATTTTTTTTCATAATTTTCTCGTGATAACGAAATAATTTTATTTAAATTAGATGTTTCTTAACAAACGAAAGTAAAATTGATTTGCTTGTCAACTGATATGCTTGAAACTATTGTAAGTTTCACAGAGGATTCTGATTTCGGAAAAACAGTTCTAGAAGTTTAGATACGCGCCTTGCCCAGTTAATCCCAAAAGAAAGCAATTTATCTGGGTGAGAAACGGTTCATTAATTATTCAGAATCCACTCTGAAACTTACAGTTCTAAACAATATTACACTGTTTTCCGTCAAAAATAACACAATGTGTTTCTAGTTCTGGAAGAATGCTTCCGTTTAGGTTCAAAATTGCACCCTTCCAGTCCAGACGCACGTTTCACCAGCCAAAGTATCAAGTCCGATATGGCTGACGCCAAAGTTAAGCATCAGTTTAAACAACATAATACAGTTCAGTAAAAAACATAGAAACTCCAATAAAGGTATAAAAATAGAAACTATAACAAAATAAAAATATTAACATCCCGAAATGGGATTAAGCTGACCGTCAAAATGTAGAACAGATAGAGTCAGTAAGAACAAATTACAAATATGTACATGGAGGAATTTTCCCAAAACAAAGCCTTCAAAATGGATTCTACAACTATTACGAGTTCGCCTTACTCGGCAAACGAGAGCGAAGACAAATGATGCAGTAACACGATAGGCTAATTTGATCCGTTGTCTCAGGTCCTATTAACTATATCAAGAAGTCTTGATACGGAGTAGAAAGTGTATTCTGCAAGCACCCAGAAAATACGAGGACAACAAGCACACAAATCGAGCTTATTCATACATGACAGAGACGTCTTTGGGAGAGCGCACTGGAATAATCCATCAACCAATAACATTCAAGGATTTTCCGGGCGGAAAATGTAAGCTGAAGGTCAACTAAGCAACTTGTGCGCGAAAAAAATTCAAAATTAGGACCTTTTCCAAGTAAAAGTTCTACAAAGCCAATGGATAATGAAATTCAGCTATTCAGAAACCTAGATCCAAATCTTCTTGCTGAATGCCTTCAACAATTTAATGTGTGTTTTGTTAAGTCACATCATCTCGGTCCACGATCACACATATATGTACAGCCTTTTTGTTACTCTTAAACATATTCAGTCAGTTCGCTAGTGTCTTTTCCTTGTGATATCTTTGTAACTGAGCTGTGAAGAACGGTTTTGTAGGTAAATTGACATTTAATTATCTGAGTCATTTCCGTACTTCGATTAACCGATATCCAATCCGAACAATATTAATGGGATAAAAATAAATATATTTTGTTCAGTAGTATTTTTTGAAGTCAATTTTTATATCTATTAACTCAAACGTAGTTGATTTGATTGAATAAAAAGATTAGAAACAAGGTATTTTCGTTATCTTTTTCATTTCACTTGTGAAGTGAACTCTGTTTAATCCTGTGAAATGACGACTATTCATGTAGAAATTATTTATCGTTTACTGTAGATTCAAGTCAAAATATAGATTTACTTAATGAAGCATTGCCATTACTCCACCCGGAAAACGTGTCACAGATAAGTGAATATAAAAATTCAATAATTTAGATAACTAATGCACTAGTTTTTAAATGCAATTCAGCCTAAGATTTGTCATTCTAGAAAATAAAGTTTTATCTTTACATAGTATTCGACATTATGATGTATTCAAATGACTGAGGAGTTAATGAAATGTTGAAACGTATCCGTTTTAGTGTAAAAGTGATGAGTAGTTTCGAATCATACATCTGCTGAAAATGTGATGAGTTGTACTACTTTACAGATTTAAGCAAGGAAGTTAGCTGAAAATTGTAGGGTAAGAAAATGGATCAGAATTATTTTAAACATATTTTAAACATTATTCTAAACATTTCGTTAAAATCGTGGTTTTCATAGAATATATTGTAATTCGAAACGAATTCACTAACAAACTCAATAATGTCTGAGGGATTTGTTATTATTATTCTCAATAGATTCAGCTTTTTAGCAGTTCTTAAGTTTGAACTACTTTATGAAATCACTTTACAGGTAAATATGGTTAAAGAAACTATAATGCAATTTTTCCAGTTCTCTGGAATTGAGTTAGCCGTAAGTTTAGATTTGTAACATTCATTCATCTCATTGGATTCTTTCAATTCACCATAAAAATGTCAAACTTTTTCAATATTCTGAAGGTTTCACTTAACTTTTTATGTCCTCACGTTATTGCAATAACAATACTTCTGATCTCAAGCATAACCTCTATCGTATCGTTTATCCCACTTTATCTGCACAGAGTTTTTGTAATATTTAGTTGTAATATTAGTAACTTTAGTGTTCAATCTACTCAAACATTTATCAGTAGTTAAGGTAGATGTTAGATTTTTTTTCCACATGTCATATATTCATTTGTTTGTTGATTCATTTACGTGTTGATACATTTACTATTTCGGATGTTTTCATAACCAAACTATTAGACATGCATACATTCAGATATTTAAGCACATATTCAGACAGACACAAAAACGTAAATGTATCTACCTAAATATAACAAAGTCAAAAAACATTATGTTCATTTTGCTCATTAGATTATGATAAATTATCTTAGTAAATGTGAACAGCAAGTTTAATAAGATATAAGATGATAATAATCATAATAATGATAAACATATAAAAAAAAGTTTCTCTTTTTATTCACTTCTCACAAATGTTCATCAAAAATTTTGTTCTATTTCGTTGAATTTTATCGAAATGAATCAATTTTTTTTCTGTTTTGTTCAAGTTTATAGTGTGATGTTTTGATCGTTATGACTTCTAGTCAGCATATAACACCAAATGATGACAGAATTGAAAAAGAGATAGGAAATATTCGAGAGAGAAAAAATACTGAATGACAAAAAATATATAACGTAAAAATAAAAGAAGTGAAATGAGAATGAAAGGGAATATTTTAGGGTGAAGTGAAAAATGCTGTGTTTTTTTCGTTTGCTGGGGAAAACAGAAAAACCAATGGGGATTTTTAGTCTATATATACACCAAGTGGTTTTATCGAAGAAGATTAATGAACTTCAAATGTCATCATGATTAAAGAATCAGACAAATTTTATGGCTTTTTAGCGTGTACAACAAAATGTTTTTCTTATTCTATATAACTATTTTTTAAGTTATTATATATTTATTATTTCTAACACGTTGTAAAGATAGTTACTGGTTTGGATAACTTAATTTTCTTGCTTAATTTTATCATTGGGATGTTTAATTTTTCGAAATTTCTAATAATTACTTTGTTTCCCCAAAAAGTAGTTATAAGTAGTAATATTTTTAAAGATCAGATATTATAATTTAGAATGTTAAAGTTTGTACGTTAGAAGTTACATTCTACGTAGATGAAATTTCAATCTTTAATAAACGATACTTTGGAGATGAC